CGGGTGTCAGACAGCCGGACAGCGGGATCTGCACAGCAAGTGAAATTCCCGTCGGATCGATAAAGCCGAAGCGCTGGCGGCGACGGGTCGATGGTTTTATCTGTCTCGGCCCCGCCGCGCCCGGCGCGCTGACAGTCGGACCGGCCGGCAAAGGCGTTCAAGGGCAGCCGCGCCCGCCGCCCCCTCCTCTCGCCTCTCCCGCCCTCCCTTCCCTGCGGCCGCTGTGCCCACCGGACTGCGGGCTGGACCGGTCCGCCGCCGCCCTCGTGATTTATCTGGATTTTTAATTGGAAAAAATTTGCGAATTAATTGATTTCAGGAACTTGCCAATTAACATTGTAATTGGGTGCGTGATAAATTCCCAAGGAGCGTGTCAGCTCCCTCCGGGCGGATGGCCGACCGCGGCGGTAGTGCGGGGAGGGCCCCAGCCTGGGCTGCCCTTGCCCCGCCCCTGCCCGCTCGGGAAGGCAGGAAAGCAGAGGAGGTTAGGAAAAGAGGAGACACTGGAGCTCCTGAGACCCGCCCTCTCTCAGCCCCTCCACCAGCTCGCCTAGCAGAGAGGAGGGATCTTAGAGCAGCCATTTCACAGATGGGGAAACTGAGGCCTGCAGAAGGGCAGAAACTGTATGTGCATCAGTCAGAGAGTTCTGGCAGAGCCCAAATAAGGGCATTCCCCAACCATGGCATGCGAAGAAGCTTCCTCCCCAGCTCTCCAACTCTCCCCTTGCCCTTCTGCCCCATACTCCCTTCTCATCTACTCCTCCTTCCCTTTTGTCCCTGCAGGCTCCTCCCTTCTTCTCTTCAACTGTCCCCTTCCCTTTCCCTGCCTTTGCCTTTCTTGTCTCCTTTGCCTGCCCAGCCCTTACTCAGCCTACCCAGCTCCCGAGTCTGTGGATGCTGCTGCCAGGATGCCCTCCATCAACGGTACACATCCCTCCCTCCATGTAGTTGCTGCCTAAGGAGCTCTTCCTGGTGGGCCTGGCATTCTTCCTTCTGCCTCCCTCTGCCCAACAGCATAGAACAAGCCCCCAGGGAGCAGGCTGCTATTTCAGATACACCCAAGGGCTCACAGAGAGAAGCAGGGACCTTCTAGCTCCAAAGCTAGGGCTGGCTGGTTTTCCGACACGGACACAAACATATACAGGACACATAGGTGCACAGAAACACACACGCCATTCCAACACAGAGATGTGCTTGGAGACACTCCCTGAAAGAACTACATTCCCACCGGGCTCGGTGGCTCAGCCTGTAATCTCACGCCTTTGGGAGGCTGAGGTGAGTGGATTGCCTGAGCCTGCGGGTTCGAGACCTGCCTGGGCAGCGAGACCTCATCTCTACAATAAATCAAAAATAAATCAGCCGGGCGTGGTAGCGCATGCCTGTAATTCCGGCTACTCGGAAGGCTGAGGCGGAAGAATCGCCAGAGCCCAGCAGTTGGAGGCTGCGGTGGCCGGGAGCGGCCACTGCACTCTAGTCTGGGCGACAGAGTGAGACTCCAACACACACACACAAAAAAGAACTACCTTCCCATGGATGTCATTCCCACAGGTAAGTGAGCACACAGACACTTACAGGAAGAGCAGTTAGAACTTCTGCTGGCAAAGCCCTTATACTGTTCAAAGCACTTTTTCATTTGAGACCAGAGGCTGTGCCCACACACCCTCCCTCACCGCATCCTTTATCTTTCCCCTTCTCAGTCCTGCACAGGTGCTCCCCTAAACCCCAGGACTTGGGCAGGTAGAACAAAGAGGGCAAAATTAGAAGACAGATTGTGGAGGGCCTTCAATGCTGGAGGATGTCCCAGATGGGGTAGGGTAAGCAGAACATCTATGAGCTAGGAGGAAGCTTGATTAGAGAGAAAATTAGTGGGAGGAAATGTCTGCAGAGGCCAGGGTGGAGTATGAGTTGGGAGTAGAAGCAGGGAGGCAAATGAGGAGGTTGGCGGGGTTCAGCATAAAGCTGGTGAGACTGACCCAGGACAGCAATGGTGGCAGTGAGGATGCAGAAGAGGGAATGAAGAGAGAACAGGTGAAAGAAAAAGCAGGGGACTTCACTGGTGTGTTTACTCGGAGGAAGCTTTCTGATTGGATGTTTGAGTCACTGGGAGTGGTGGTGGCAGTGGTGACAGTGGCAGTGATGGTGGTGGTGGTGGCAGATAAGCGCATCTGAGGGAAGGAGGGAACTACAGGCAGGGCTCTGGGTAAATTAAGCTGAAGATGGGACACTGATGGGGTAGGGACTAGATGCGTGCAGGAGCATAGACAGGGGCTGGAGATTGAATGTGGGGCAGCTGGCCGCCAGACTTCCCTGGGAACCTCATGTAGGAGTTTCCACCCAGAGAGATGAAGATGACTTGGGCATGGAATGACTGCCCAAAGCTAAAAGTTGGGCTTGGCTTGGTGGGACCTGAGCTCAGAAATCTCTGAAAGGCTTCTAGAGCCACTGTGAGATCCGACCTCCGGGCTGGGAAGGAAGCTCTCAGGGCAGTGCTTTAAAAAGGCTGAAAGAAGCCAGAGGGAGGCTGGGTGGCTCTAGAGGAGAGGCGGGGTGTGGAGATGGCAGTGCCCCCACCCCCACTTAAGCCTTATTTAAGGCCGGCCTCGGTGTTTGGTTGGGTAATGAACTAGATAAACAATTCCCCAAATAGATTAAAACGAAGTGTAACTTACAAAGGCGGCTGGTGATGATGGTTTATTCCCGGGCAGCGCACCATTTCTTTATTTCCAAGGATAATTCAGTGTAAATCACCTTAATTAAAAGTGTCAGCCCAGCCCATGAATATTGTACTTAGGAACGCGTTTCCTGGGTTCCAGTTATAATTTAAAACCCATGGATCACTAGGCAGCGAGTGACTGAGCAAGGGAGGAAATCGTTGGGGGCGTGCTGTGGAAACAGGGAGGGACGGAAGGCAGAGCTGATGGGCTGGGTTGGAGCCAGGCTGCTTACAGCTGCGGGGCTCAGTCCTCTCTTCTCATAGGCAGGCCCTTCAGCAGACTCCTCAGTCTCTGGGGAACCAAGCCCACTGGGAGGTGATCTGGAGGACACACTCAAAGAGAGGGAAGGTGTCTGAGATAGTATCCATCCAATGCAAGAGACAGGGAAGCACATTGCTGGGAAGAGACCCAGAGGAGTGGATCTAAAAGTGAGAGGCTGCACATTCTGACCCTGAGTGTCCCCATTTCTGTTCACCAGCAGAGTAACCTGAAGCTCAAGTCAGCAGGACCCTCCCCAAAGTCACATAGCAAGCCGAGAAGAAAAAGAACCAAGTTCTGCTCTCTATCCTAAGCCCTGAGTATCTTTAAGGAGGCACTGTGGGCAATTAAACCAGCACTGTGGACTTGACTAGACACCAACTCAAATTCCAAGCCCTCCACAAACTATGTGAACACAGAGGTGTTATTTGACCTAGTAGTCAACTTTGTAAAGATTTTGTGAAATAACACATATTAGAGCCTGTGCCTGTCACATATAGTGGGCATACAATCATTGTTCATTCCTTCCTTTCTTCTCCACTCTCATCTGATCCAACTGGGGATAATGCTCATATCCCAGTCCAGGGCAGAGCGGGACGAGCACAGTGTTACACAGTAGATGCCTCAATTCTGTACCTGTAGGTAAGAATGGTGATGTATTTGTTCACTAAGTGAATGAAGGAGTGAAGGAATGATAAAAGTCATGAACTCACAAACTAGTTGCTCCTCAAGAGCAGCTTCATGGCCACAGTGCATAGATCAGGGCTGGCCACTGACCATTTATGAACAACATGTAATTGAATGGTACCTGTTCTGGCTGGCCTTCCTAGTCTGTGATTCCCCTCACCCCTTGCTCCCCCCGTGTGACTGGACTAGCTGACAACTGTTTTTATACTCAGACCTTGGCCTCACCCTGCTGCTGAACCTGGTGGCCTCTGCACTGTGATGCATGTTTGTGTGTGTGTGCACGTGTCTACATTTGTGGGTGCATGTGTGTCTGGGTGTGTGTTGGCACATACAGGTGTCTCTATGCATGTGTGTATGTGGACTTGTGTGCATGAACAACTCTCACCTAGTCTGTGTGGCTGTTGTGAATTTGTCTTTATGGACATGTCTCTGGGAATATGACTCTGTGGCCCTGTGCATCTGTATGCATGTCTGAGTCTCCGGGTAGGACTGCATATATCTGTGTTCCTGTTGGCAAAATTAGAGTCTGTGGATACGTGTGTATCTGCCTTTATACCAGGGCTTCCCAACCTTGGCACTGTTGACACTGTTGGGTCAGATAATTATTTATTGTGAGGGGCTGCTCGGTACACTGAAAGATGTTTAACATCCTCTACCTACCAAATGCCAGTAGCAAATTGCCTTCCCGCCACTCATGTTTTTACAATAAAAAATGTCTCCAGACATGGCAAATGTCCCCTGGGCAAGCAACACTCCCCTCTCCCCCGCCCCCCATTAAGAGCCACTTCTTATCCTAATCTGCCTATACTTTTGCTTGACTATCAGGTGAGTCTATCTCTGGCCCTGTGGGTGCCAGAGCACATCTATGGTTGTTCCCTATGTCTACGCTCAATAAGTGCATATGCACCCCATGTACTCTGCTGTAGACATACACGAGCATGTCTCTTGTGCTTTCTGGGTCTGTGGGTGCATTCTACATGTGTACCTTCTATGTGTGTCTGTGCAAGAACCCTGTGTGAATGGACTGTGTCTGCCTCTGTGCATGTGTCAGCCAGCACCTCTGTGTGCATGTATTTGTGTGTGTGTGTGCACGTGCGTGAATGTGTGAGCACAGATGTGGCGAGTGTAGTGGGGGCAGCAGGCAGGGAGGGACAAGAACAGGGATATTAATGTTTCTGAAGTGGATCTGATTTGATACGTCTTGTTCCATTGTCAGCATCTGTTTAGCAGGGATTTGTAATACTTTGTGGCTCTGGATCACTCATGCTTAGCGCGGGATGTGGCCTTGCATACCAATTTTGTTATTAAACACAGTCCTCGCCTCCCCCACAGCCCATCCATCACCTCCCGCCCCAGCCCCCCCGCCTGCTCTGAGCTGCCCACCATATTTCAGGGCCCAGCTCCCGCTCGCCTGCCGCGCCCGTTGCCGGAGGGCCTGGGGCTGACAAATTGAATCAGGGGGAGATCATTCCTGGCCTAACACAGTTTGCAGCATGTTGGAGGGAGAATTGACAAGAGCCATGTCAGTTCCATCACCCCTATCCCATAGGAGCTAAGAGCAGCTGGGAACAGGGGGTGTAGAGAAGGGGCCCTCCAGGACAGGCAGAAATCTTCAGGACTAATACCAGGAGTCAGGTAAAACCCCTTTCCTCAGATCCACTGGAGAGTCTACCATGCCCAGTGTCTGTGTCCTATTGGCCTCTGATAGAGGCTAAGCTAGGCTGCGCCACTGGGGTTGAAAGGACTGGGTGGAGCTTGGCTGAGCTGGGCTGGGCTAGGCTGGCTATGCCTTCTCTCTCATTCAGGTCTTCTTGCTACTCTACCCTTGCGTGCCCTGGGCAGCAGGTAGAATGGTCACCCTGTTCTTTTCTTTCTTGGCAGCAAGAATTCCCTTCTGAAGGATACCATGGCTCCAGGCACCCCCAAGGTAGGTGGCCAATTGTGTGTTTTCCTCCTGTCCATCCTAACTTAGGCCTACCCAGAACTGATTCCTTCTGAGGAAAAAGAGTTCTTGACCTGGATCCCCAACCGTCTCCAGGGCTTGAAGGTCAGCCTGAGGCCTAGGGAGGCAGTGTGTGTGTGTGTGTGTGTGTGTGTGTGTGTGTGTGTGTGTGTGTGTGGTGTCTGGGTGTGAGTGAGGATACGCTCATCTGACTTCTTTGTCTTCCAGACAGGAGAGAGGTCAGTCAAAAATGGCCTGGGGGATGTGGGTGACCCAGACACTAAGGCTGGAAAGACTCAGAGGAGGAACGTGAGGTGAAGAAAAATAAAGAACTGTGGTCAGTCAGGCATGGTGGCTCACACCTATAATCAAAGCACTGTGGGAGGCAAAAGTAAGAAGATTGTTGTTCAAGACCAACCTCAGCAACTTGGCGAGACCTGTTTCAACAATAAATCAGAAAAAATTAGCAGGCATGGTGACGTGTGCCTGTAGTTCCTCAGCTACTTGGAAGGCTGAGGTGGAAGGATCGCCTGAGCCCAGCAGGTCGAGGTTGCATTAACTGAGATGGTGCCACTGTACTCCAGCCTGGGCAACACAATGAAACTCCAAATCGGAAAAAAAAAAAAGGAACTGTGGTCAAGATAGACAGTACAAGGCCTTACAAACCAGACCATGGTGTGTGTGTGTGTGTGTGTGTGTGTGTGTGTGTGTGTGTGTGTGTGTGTGTGTATTTTATCTGAGGACAACAAAAAACCAGAGAAGATGGTGAGCCCATTTGGGGAGACAGTCTGCCCCTTGAACAAAACTATAGAAGACATGCTTGAAAGCATCTGATGGAAAAAGGAAAAGTGAAGGGCAAGTTTCTAGCTCAAAGGAGAGGCCTTAGCACAACAACATAATTTTTACCAAGAACTCCCCATAGGTGCCACAGAGACAGTTGGTACTACTTCCCTAAAGGTGATGATTTTGAAGGGATGGAGATCTAGGGAGGAGGACTAAGCCCTCACTCACTGAGTTTCTCCTTCCCCACCCCTCAGTGTAAGGCTGCATCCTTTCTTAGAAGTTCTCACAATAACTCAGAAAGGCAGGAATCTCTAGCCCATTTTCTAGGGAATGAGGAGTGAGTATGAAAGCTTTAGGAATGGATGGAATCAGTGAGGGAGAGAATATGGGAGATTAGAGCAAAAACCTAGAAGAGAATCTGGGGGACTCCTGCACTTAGGGCCAAGATAAAATACAGGAGGCAGGGAAGGCGACAGAGAAGGCACAGTCAACAAATTAAGAGGAGTACAGGAGAGCATGGTATCTCCGGATCCCAAAAAAGTTTCCAAATGTATAGGGTGGTCAGCAGTCAAATAGGGAAAGGCCAGAGAAGGGATTCGTTATTTTTAGAAGTCCTAAAGCCAGTGGTGACCTCTGAGAAGGCGGTTTTGAGGAAAGGAGCCGGAGTGATAAGTATCACCTTCATGGTGTAGGCCCAAAGATCCTGTGGGACTTTAAAAAGTGTGGGAGAGGCTGGGCTTGGTGGCTTAGCCTGTAATCCCAGCACTTTGGGAGGCTAAGGCAAGTAGATTGCCTGAGCCCACGGGTTCAAGACCAGCCTAGGCAACTTGGCGAGGCCTTGTCTCTACAATAAATAAAAAATTAACTGGGCATAGTAGCACACGCCTATAGTTCCAGCGACTTGGAAGGCTGAGGCAGAAGGATCGCTGGAGCCCAGCAGGTTGACACAGGAAATTCCTTAACTGCAGTAAGCTAGAAGAGGAGGAACAGAGAAACCAGCCCAGCCTTGTGTTGGTGTAGGCCCTGGCCAAGGAAACAAACCCCTCCTAGCCCTAAAGAGAAAAGGAGAGAGGTGCCAGGCAGCTATGGACTCATAGAGGTAGGACACCATACTCGTTGAGCATGCCCCAGCCTGTAGCATTTAACGGTGTGGTTAAGGGAGGTCATGGAAAAGCTTCAGTTGGCCACCATAACCAGTGGCAACTGGTACCTGAGCATGGTTGGCAGGGCTGGGGACTTGGACATCAGTGAGGCCTGGGTTCTAAGGATAAACCCCTGGCAGATGGAATCTGCCTCCATACCTACCTCCCCACTTACACAGACCCCACACATACCCGAGTCAAAATACATGCATGGAAAGTCTTGAATGTGTGCAGATTCCTGCAGCCACAGACACAGGCATATTGATCATCAGAAATAGAGACAAGGGACACTTGCTCACCCATGTCCAGATATATATGCTCACACCCCAAAAGCTGAATGATTCAGGGTCTATCCTCTGCCTTGACCTAGGCTCTAGGGAAGCCAGTCTTGAGTGGAAGAGGCGGGAGGTAGAAGGTTCAAGCAAGAGACTGAGAGAACAGAGAGAAGGAGGGAGGGAGGAGGAGAAAGAGAGGGTGAGGGGGCCTTAGACAAGATTGATGGCCTCGTTGCCATTAAGAAAAAAATTAGCCGGTGGCGGCTATCATATTAAAGGGTGAAGAAGCCGTGAATTATTTTCTTAAAGATCTTATCGCTTACAATGATAATTTTACCTTCCAAAAGGCCACTTTTAATGAGGCGAAGAGCCAGGCAAAAAGTCATGATTTAATGCCAGGATTTTTTTTTCAAAACACATTTTACTGCTTTTTGGTCCATGTTTAAAAAGCGCCAGTGACCTTTTTTTATTCCGTTTGCCCCAGGTGTAATGCTGAGGCCTCTCAGGGCTTCTAACCTAGAGAGAATGAGAGAACGAGAGAAAGAGAAAGCACACAACCATGAGCTTTCTCATGGGGCAAGGGGTGACCCACATTGTGGCCCTTCTTCAGCTTTTTCCTTGGGACCAGAGGAGAAGAGCACCTCCTTTCTGGGCTGGGGCTGAGTCACCCACTAGGCCTCCCACTGGCTCTGGATGGGTGAATAAGGAGCTCCAAGTTGCAGGGAATCCCACCCAGGCCCTTTCCAGCCTCTTCTCTCCTCCAGCTCCTGGCGTGTAGGCAAGTCAGGAAACCCTGCCAGACCACCAGTTGTCCCTTCCCTTCCCAGGGCCCTCGCCTGAGGATGTGCAGTGTGGCCACCGCATGCGGGTCACATCCTAAGGCTCAGTCGGAGATGAAGGATAAATGGCTGCTCCATCTTTCCCAAATTGCTTTCTTTGGGCTGTCACTGGCGATTTGGCATGGCTTTCTAGGCCAGGGAGGACTCTCAGGGAATTGTGTGCTTCCGGCTTAGATCTGTGCAGGCTGTAGGAGGTGGCGGGGGGAGTATGGATTGCTTTCAGACCTCCAGGCCCCCAGTTTGCAGCTGAACAGGCCTTGGCAAGAGCTGGCTCTCAGGCAGAACGTGCCATGTGGTATTTAGAATTGTGGTGCTTGCACACAATTTCAAGCAGACAGTTTATTAATCTAAACTGCAGGCGTATGTAGAAGAGGCCGTGCAGGATTGACATGGGAGGATTAGTTTTGCTGGAGTTTATGCTGGGGTCATCGCCACAGCACGGGGATAAATGGACCAGCGTACATCCCCAGCTGCACGTGGGAAACTCATACATACTATTTAATTTACTGTCTCTGCAGTAGGGCTGCCATCAGCCTGTATTAGGGGCAGGCAGGGTGGCGGGTATGTGGCTTTACCTTAGCCCGTCGGAGGGGTCCCAGAGTTTCTGCTAAGGAAGAACAAAGCACATATAGTCTCAGCCCACTGGGAGTGGACTGGCAGTCCTGCCCTACTGGAGAGGGGTGTTTAAGCAACGGTTGAGGAGGCTTGGACTCCACTGGGGGTTTCTACCCTTCCCTAAAATCAAGTCATCCTCCCCACAGCCACACTCCTGGGACTTGAACACATGCCTTCAGAACCTCAAGAGTAGTCCTTCTGTCTCTCTGCCCTCCTTCTCTTTGCCTGGCTCCCAAAAGCTCCACGGGACTGAGAACTCTAGGGACTGACTATAGGTCTCATTTGGCCTGAGGCCACGTGTCCTTTTTCTTCTTCCAGTCCCTCCTGTTGTCTGCATCCATCAAGAGGGAAGGAGAGTCACCAACAGCGTCACCACACTCATCTGCCACTGACGACCTGCACCATTCAGACAGATACCAGGTGAGGAGGGTATGATGGGTGGCCATGAGAAGAAAGCTCACCTGGGTGAGAGCCTCAAGGGCATGTCTGGTGCTCACTCCTCCCGGCTTTGGCAGGCCAAAGGAGAGGCCTGAACTGTGGGTTATCTCTGTGTCTAGTGCCCCTAAGTGAATTCATAAGGCACAAGTGTCAGAGAATAGGCCTTAAAGATGTCAGGTGGGTTTTAGGAAGAAATGCCAAGGTCACCTGGACTCTGGTGGACTCTGAGCATCTCTGAAGCATCCTGTTCATCCGGAAGTATCCTATGGGGTTTGGTTTCATGAGGACCCCAGGGACATAACCCAGAATCACCCAAAGATTTCAGACTTCAAAAGCATGATCCCTTAAGCAAACAGCCATTCAATTCCACCAAACCTTGGTATCAGGCCCAGATAGAGAGACAGGCAGACAATGCCTGTGAGTGTCTTAGGTAAACAGGAAGGGAGTGATCACACAGTTCTAAAAGATCAGAAGAGGATGGGACCTAAGAGTAACATCTTAGCTACAGATGGACCTTCTCTGTAGTAGGAAGGACAAAAAAACTTCACCCAGAAACTTGTCTGAAAAGAGGCAGAGCCCTGCCTTTGGGAGCTCCAGTTAAATGAAAGAAAACAGAGCACTGTTCCAAGGAACATTTGGCTAAATGGCAACAGAGCTTCTTGGGGAGCCCCGGTGTGAAAAGGGAAGAACAGTCCTGATCTGATATGGAAGGATAGGGCAGCAAATACCTAGGTAGGGGTAGAAAGTAGAGAGTAGAAATACCTAAGCTGGAGTAGAAAACCAGGGTCCTTGCTGGCATATGTTAGGCCTTGATTGGAATTTGATAAAGGAGTTCTCCCTGGCACCCTTTCCTCCCAGCTGATACAGTCTGGCCTAAGAGAATAAAGCCTGAAAAGTAGAGTGTCCGAGATGGGCAGGACACAGACTACTGGATGCCTTCATATGGGACTCAAACTGCATAACCCAAAGTGCCAGCCCTGGGGAGGGATCCCTGCTCTTATGAACCCTGGTTTAAGAGAGGAAGTCCAGCTAGCTCCTGGGAGACATTGCCTCAATCCAGACAACCCGATTCAAGGCAGAGAAATGACCCAACCCCAGGGAATTCTGGTCTGAGAGGAAACAGAGACAAGGCTCTGTTCCAGAGAGTACTAGTCCAAAGGAAAGACAGAGCCCTGCCTTCAGAGACCCATCCTCTCTACTTCGCTCACAGCATCAGCCTTACCATCTGTTGAACTAAGAAAAGAGAGCATCAGGCAAAAATTGCCTTGACTCCCTAACCCCCCATTCTTACCCCAAAAAAGCTGGTACTTATTTTATTCACTAGAGAATATGAAGAAAGTCATCCACCCTTTTGCCTGAAAAAATATATATATATAGACTGGGCTTGGTGGCTCAGCCTATAATCCCAGCACTTTGGGATGTCAAGGTGAGTGGATTGCCTGAGTCCGTGGGTTCGCGACCAGCCCGGGCAACTTGGCGAGACCTCATCTCTACAATAAATAAAAAATTAGCCGGGCGTGGTAGCACACGCCTGCAGTTCCACCTACTTGGAAGACTGAGGCGGAAGGATCGCTGGAGTCCAGCAAGTCGACGCTGGGTAGCTGTGAGTGTGCCACTGCACTCCAGCCTGGGCAACGGAGTGAGACTCCAACTCAAAAAAAAAAAGACCACACATATATCACATATGCACACACAGGCATTCACATGCAGTATTTTATATACAACACAAGGAGGCTAAAAACCTCTAGAGGCCGGGCGCGGTAGCTCACACCTATAATCCCAGTACTTTGGGATGATGAGGTGAGGGGATTGCCTGAGCCCACAGGTTTGAGACCAGTCTGGGCAACTTGGTGAGACCTCATCTCTACAATAAAATCAAAAAATTAACCGGGTGTGGTGGCATGTACTTGTAGTTCCAGCAACTTGGAAGACTGAGGCAGAAGGATCACCTGAGCCCAGCAGGTCGAGGCTGCGATGGCCATGAGTGTGCCACTGCACTCCAGACTAGGCGACAGTTAGACTGCAGCTCAAAAAAAAAAGAAACCTCTAGTGCCCAACTTGGTATTCCTTAAAGGTCTCTGAAGTTCAGATTAAGGCTCAAGACCCTGTTCTAGATTCTAAAAAGGACAAATCAGATTAAGTTACACCATACAAGATGAAGTTGAAGCTCCTTATCATAGGACCAAAGCCTTCTGTGATTTAGACTCAACCTGTATTTCCAGCTTCCATTCCAAATACTGCCCTCCATGAATCCTGCAGGCTATGTTCACTGACCATTCCCTGGATGTGCCATTCCTTTCTTGCCTCCATATCTTCACACATGCTGTTTCTTCTCACACAGGACTTTTTATATTTTTTTTTTTGAGTTGGAGTCTTACTCCGTCACCCAGGCTGGAATACAGTGGCACATTCACGGCCATCCCAGTGTCGACCTGCTGGGCTCCAGCAATCCTTCCACCTCAGCTTTCCAAGTAGTCAGAACTACAGGCACACACTACCACGCCCAGCTAATTTTTTATTTTTTTATTGTAGAGATGAGGTCCCGCAAAGTTGCTCAGGCAATTCACTCGTCTCGGACTCCCAAACTGCTGGGATTACAGGCTGAGCCACCAAGTCTGGCCTCACAGGACTATTTTATCCCACTCCACCAAATTTCTATCTATCACGTAAAATCCTGTTCAAATAACCTTTCCCCCAGGAAGCCTTTCTGGATTAGTTATCTCTTCTTATAACCCTTGTGTGTACCTGTTGTTGCCACTATCACCCTATATTGTGACCACCTGTTTAGGCATGTCTCACTTACCTACTGATATACGGCAAACCATCCCAAAACTGAACACAATTTATGATTTCTTATTATTCTATGGGTTGCCTGGCATTTTCTTACTCAGCAGCTCATTCATCTGAAGGACTGGCTGGGTTGGAATCCACAATGGCCTCCCCACATGTCTGGAAGATTGGGGTGCCTTGGTTTTCTTCCATGTGGCCTCTCATCTTCCAGTAGGTTAGATCAGCCTTCTTACTTAGCAGTCACAGGGCAGTGCCACACCCAAAACTGTAAGGCCTCTTAAGGCCTAGAATCTGGAACTCACACAACATCACTTCCATCACTTTCTATTAACAAAGCAAATCACAAAGCTAGCTGATAATTAAGGGATGAGGAAATGTAGCTCTTGATAGGAAAAACTGCAAAGAATTGTGGCCATATTTAATCTATCATAATGAGTCTGACTCTTCCACTAGACATGGAGTTTCTCCAAGGCAAGGACCTTGTCTTATCCTTCTTTTACTCAAACATTTATCTAGTACTCACTCATGCTCAGCCTAGTATTCTTGCCTTTAGGGGTTAGGTTTGCAAATAAATAATTATGGTCCAGTGTTTTAAGTGCTATGATAGGGATATAAAGTTTCTAGAATAGCACAGTGGAAGGCAGGGAAAATCAGAGCAAGCTTCACAGAGGAGGTAATAACTGAAGAGGGATTTACAGGAGGAATAGGAGTTTACCTGGTAAATAAGGAAGAAAGGGTATTCTAGATAAAGGCAACACTACATGCAAAGGACATAGGTATAACAGAATAATGAATGTAGGATCTTCTAGCAGTTCAGTTTTGCTAGAAAGTAAAATGGTGGGAGATGGTGGGAAATAACCCAGGGACTAGTTGGGTATCCCCTACTCTTTACATAATGCCTGGCATGCAATAGTTGCTCACTTATGTTGGGTTTTAAAAAATAATTGAACTAGACCTTGAAAGCAGGGAGTACTGGTTTCTAGTTTGAATTCCCATTTACTTCACCACTGCTGAGCAACTAATGCTCTTAACCATTACCTCTCTTAACCCTCATAGCATAGGTACAAGCTAGGATTCTTTGCCCCCAATTTATTACTAAGAAAACAGGCATAGAAAAGAAAGGTGACTTTTCTAAGAATACATAAATTATAAGTAACAGAGTCAGGATTTGAATTTGAGTCTGTCTGGCCCTGAGTGAATCCTAGATTGCTTCCCAGCCCGGTACTGGCCTCAGGGCTCCTCTCGTAACATCCTTCTCCCCTTCCCTCTGATGTCTCCTTCATGTGAGATCCTGTACTGAATAAATGGCTACATAGAGATGATCTTCCAAGACAAATATATAAACAAAAAATCAAAATATACTTGATTAGAGGGAAGCAGTGGATCTGTGAAAACTCAGAGGAGGCAACAAGCCAAGCTTTGGGTAAAAGAAATGAATTCTTGCCAGAGTCCTGAAGGATGGACAACAGTTAACCAGGCAGGGGATATTGGAGGGCATGGAGGCTATCTGACCCAGAGTCCAGAGCACTGAGTACTCAAAGAACTACAGTTACCTCTGTAGAGCTGAGTGTCAGGAGGGCAAAGGGTGAGAACAGGGGTGGTAGAAGAGTCTGGAGAAGCAGCTGGGGCAGAGCAGGCCTGTATGCCACGTTGCAGATCTCTGTGGAGAGCTATAGAAGAATTTAAAGGAGAAAAGAGGGTTAATTTTACACAATACAAAGAGCATACTGTGTGTAGTGTGGAGGATGAATTGCAGGGAGAGAAGCTGGACACCAGAAGACAAGATGGTAGACAGCTGAAAATTTAGAGCATTTATAAGATATGAACCAGAGCGGTGACAACCAAGGTAGGTACAGCCGATAAAGAAACACTCAGGGATGACTTGCCTATGCCAAGCACCATGCTGGGCTCTGGTTCACCCAGATAACTCACACATGGCCCAAATCCTGAAGTGATCAGTCCACTGACAAAAACGTATACAAGCTATGGCAAGGGTACAGAAATGGAAGAACTCTTACAGGAGGGAAAGCTGTTTGTCAGGACTAGAAGGATGGAGATCAAAAAATATAAGAGATCTTTAAAGGTAGACTTACAGGATCTAGAAGAGGATTGAGTGTCAGGGATAGAGAGGATGAGGTCAAGGGCTACTCTCAAGTTTCCTGCGTGGGCACATATAAGTATATGGTGGTATCCCCTTATGAACTGGGAACCAAGTGCAAGGCGTGCGTTTGGAGAATAGTGAGTTCAGTGTTGGCCATGAGGGCATGCATTGCCTATGGGAACTCCAGGGAACGTCCAGCAGACAGCTGACATGTCGGGAATCCTCTAATAATGGGACTGTAACGTCTAGGGGCTGAGAGGGTTGACTGTTAGGAGTATGCTGTGGGATGGCCCACGGGCAATCGGGAATTCCGACGCCTCCTCCCCAGCAAAGCACTCTACTCGGCCCGGCTGCCAGCCGCGCGAGAGGCGAGAGGCGAGAGGCGGGCGGCGGGAGCCGGGGCAGGGCTGTGGGGTGGAAGGAACCCCGCAGTGGGAGGGGGTGTGGG